AATTGGTGGGAATTGTTGGGTTTCTGTAGTTAACTTCAGAGTAGGGTCTGACCTGCTCTGTTTGGAAAGCGCTGTGAGACAACTGTTGTTGTGATGTGGCGCTATATAAATAAAATTGAATTGAATTGAATTGAATTCAAATTAATTTCATTAGGGAAAAGTTTGAATGATTTAAAAAGATGGATGTTTTTGCTGACAAAAGTAGCTGTTATGTTCTAGAGCAGTGTTTTTCAACCACTGTGCCTCGGTACACTAGTGTGCCGTAGAAAATCATCTTATTTCACCTAATTGGTTTAAAAAAATGTTTTGATAAGGAATTAATTTCCTGCAAATAATGTGCCATTTTTGAGTGTCTGTGCTGTTCTAGTGACTGGTGGAGTAATCACGTAATAATTCCTTATGATTTTGTATATAATTTTGTATATTGAAGTGGACATGTTAAGTGCAATTTGAAAGAAGAAAAGTAAAATATGATAAAAATACATTTTTGTGTTTATTTGATTCCTATTCAAGACACTTAAGATAAGATAAGAATAAAATAAGAATAACTATAGTGTTACTATAGGCGGCTACAGATTTGTTTAAGATTTTTGGTTGGTGGTGTGCCTCAAGATTTTTTCAATGAAAAAATGTACCTTGGCTCAAAAAAGGTTGAAAAACACTGTTCTAGAGAATCCGAACAGTTTGACAACTAAAATAGTTTATTCATGGGGAATTGAACCCGCGTCTGCTTTGTGGCAGGTGGGGAGAAAAAAGAAAAGAAAAACTACAGCCAATAGTAATAAAATGCAATAAAAAATAAAGTGCACATATTGAATAGCGTTCAGATCAAACGGCCCAGTAGCGTCCACAGAAGCCTGTCGTGTTTTCCTCCCGCCCAATCGGAGGCCTCCTGCCCAATCAGAGACCTCCTGCCCAATCAGGGACCTCCCGCCCAATCAGAGGCCTCCTGCCCAATCAGGGACCTCCCGCCCAATCAGAGGCCTCGCGCCCAATCAGAGGCCTCCCGCCCAATCAGAGGCCTCCCGCCCAATCAGAGGCCTCCCGCCCAATCAGAGGCCTCCCGCCCAATCAGGGGCCTCCCGCCCAATCAGGGGCCTCTCGCCCAATCAGAGACCTCCCGCCCAATCAGAGGCCTCCTGCCCAATCAGATGCCAGCTCCTCGGCCTCTGGACTTACGAGCCAGTGGACAAAGTCCAGTTACATTTCTATTTTAAATAGAAATATTTGTGTCTTGAATGAACAAGTGGAATGTTTAGTATTTTTTATGAGCTGTGCTCAAAACCTCAGTTTGTAAATGTGACCTCATTACCGTTCAGCTAATGAGCTTCGTGTTTTAAAGGCTGGATTTGAAATCCTGCTGTACCTTTAATGTGTTGAACTCAGACTGGACGCTTTGAGGTGCAATTCAGCTTGTTCATGTCAGACTGAAGTCAAATGTGCAATTTTTATACTATTTATTTTTTATTGTATTTTTAAAATGAAATTTTATTACTGTAGTTTTTGAATAAAATATTATTTTAATATTATAGTCCTGTTTCTGTTCTTTCCATCTGGAAACACTTGAAGCTTAAAGGGAGAATCTGAAAATCGGCTTTTCCAGATGGAAGTCATAATCTTTTTCTCTCTTTTCCAGCTTTTTCTCTCTTTTCCACCCCATAACCGACAGGTCCAGCTCTGGTCTCAGTCGGTTCAGTTTCTCTGGAGAAAAAGGCAAAGCTCACGTGTTTTACACACAGCACATCTTTAATAAAAAGCTTTCCCCCTCAGGGGTCAGAACGGCCTCAGAAGTGATGCTCTGTGGTGACGTCACCGTGGTCACCGTCCAATCCCGGCTCAGCCTGGGGGGGCGGGGCCGTCGCCACGGAGACGGGCTGTTTACTTCCTGTAATCAGAGCAGGTGAGAAAGAAAATGAAGAGATCAATAAAACATGGAGAGTTCAGTCAGAGAGGAAAAAGATTGATTAATTGATTAATGGATTGATTGATCTATTAGGTTATTGATTGATTTAGTAATTGATTGATCAACTGATTGATTTATTGATTGGTTCATTTATGGATACATTTATTAACTCATTGACTGCCAGCCATTTTCAGAACAAAGTCCCATACTGCCAGAGTTTTTATGCATTTTGACTGATTTTTCAAGAGCCACAGAATAGTTTGTGCTATGACTATGTAAACACCGAACACACCAAAAGAAAGAGTAGACTCTCTTCTTTCATCAGGAAAAAAAAACGTGTTTCTACCTTATTCCGTTCTTCCTGGACTTGTGTCTCACCGGCGACATGTTCACTCATAGAACCGTTACCTTTTTCTTATTTGCCTACAGTCTATGCTCATCTCCCATCAAAAGTGGCACTGCCCCCTAGAGGGTCAATTTGTTACTACATACTCTGTCTAGAAGCCTGATATTTACGGACAAGCTTTAGCAGATCGTCCCCAGACACTCTCGTTGAAAAACATAAAAGACCTCTATAGACGTCTTTGGCAGCGAATGAGTTAATTGGTTGGTTCATATGTTGGTTGATTGATTGATTGATTGATTGATTAATTGATTGATTGATTGATTGGTTGGTCAGCAGCCGGGTGACCGTTACCTTTGGCTCTGAGTCGGTACACAGACACCAGGAGGAGGGTGGAGATGAAGTAGGGGCAGAACACCAGCAGGCGGAGGAGCAGCATGAGCCCAAGGTGGTGGGGGGAGGAGTCAGGGGGCGGGGCTTCAGAGGTGGGCGGGGCTTCAGGTGTGGTTGGAGGTTTCTCTGCAGAGAGAACCCACCTGGTCAGGTGACTGTGGGAGAAATTGGAGCTGAACTGAGATCTCACCTGTGACCCGGACCCGGCTGGAGGGGGACCTGTCCCCCCCGATGGAGCAGCTGTAGAGGCCTTCATCAGACCTGCTAACAGGCCGGAGGGTCATGTGACCTGTAGGCTCCGCCCTGATGAGGGAGCCATCTTTATAGAATAAAGCAGCTGTGGGGCTGGAGGGGGGGGGGCGTGCTGTACAGCTCAGAGTGAGGGCCCCCCCCTCCATCACAGGGAGGACAGGACTCTGCAGGATCACTGGTCCACCTCAACACAGAGACAGACTACAGCACTTCATCCATTTCCACACAGCTCCATCAGCACTAACTCCACAGTCTGATCTTACCAGAGACAGTGAGGGGGGTGCTGGGACCGGCCGCCCCCCCGCCCGACTCACACCAGTATTCACCACTGTCACTTTCAAAGACAACACTCATCCTACAGACAGAATTAGTCAGGTTCCCCCAGTCTGCTCCACACTGGGTCCTGGTTCCTCTGCTGGTGTTCCTCCACACAGTCCATCCAGCAGAGCTGCCGTCCTCCTCACAGCTCAGAGACACAGAGTCCTTTCTGAAGAACTGAAGGCTGCTGGGACTCACAGTCAGAGCCGCTGTGGACGGAAGCAGAAGCTGTGAAGAAGTTGTGCAGGGAAACCCACAGAGCCAGGGGTCAGTTTTTAACACCGTTTGGGGGCCTCCAGTTTGCCAAACCTGCTAACTTCTACTCAAAAACATCTTAAATTGGGCCATTAAAGGAAAAACAACAACCACTGTGGGACCTGGGAATGACAGAAATTCTAACACAGAAAAACAATATAATAAATTCTAAACTAAAGCGGAACTTCCATGTAAGCAGAAAATAAACAAACTTTAAATCAAGTAAAAACGAAGAGCTGATTTTGGAGCCAATAGAAAGGTGTTCAGGAGAAGCTGAAAAACAAGCTCAGAGCGAGAGAGCACACAGGAAAATGTGACGTCAGGTTTGAAAAAGATCCATTTTTAACCCCTTAATACCTGACATGCAGAACCGATGTATCTGTGAATGTGCCTGAAAGCCATCAGTCAGAGCAGGTTCTCAGGCCGGTGCTGGCTGGCTTCAGCTGCAGTAAACAGGCCTTAAGGCGGATCTCACTGAACTCCACTGGTTACCTCTGGCTGTTTGTATCAGATCCAAGTCCCTGATGCTAGCCTACAAGGTCTTGAGGGTCCGGCTCCCGTCTACCTGAATTCAATTCAATTCAATTCAATTTTATTTATATAGCGCCACAT